ATAAATAAATTACCTTTCTGACATCTTGTATCATCTGGTCCTTGTCGTTATCTAAAGCAATTTTATTGACGAAATTCCCAAACAGATAAGAGTACCATGGTAAAGACCCTCCGTTTATCAAAGCACCCAAACACCCTATTACTACAAGAAACATATCAAATTTTGTGGAATACTTAAACAACCCAAAAACCCCGATGCTTTTTGGTGCTACAACTTCATCCTCATCAACCTCGTCCCCTTCCTCCACATAACTTTGAAGATACTGACTATGATTACTATTATAATCATGGCTCCTAAAGGAAATCCCGTAAGGACTATTTTGCCCATCATAATCATATCCCCCCATATGATCATGGTCAACATAAGCACGTGAAACAGAGAACCATCGAGGATCTTGTTTGTTTCCTCCTGTTTCATTCTCTATATCATCATCATCATAATCACTCATAAAAGATTCAGCATTACTTTTTCTAGGAGTACGATTTCCCATTTTTGCAAAAGTAGGAGACTTGGTGTAACCAGCATTGAAGGAAGTGCTATGTGGCTGATGATTATCGACAAAGCTTTGGAGTTCGATTCTTCCAGGAGTAGGAGACAACACACTGGAATATTCATAATGTGGATTTGTAAAGTTACGAAAGTTAACATCATGACTATTAGAAGTACGAGAAAGATAAAACTCGTTAGCTGACTGGCGGAATACACGGTTGCCGGGTGTAGGAGCCGGGGAGGGTGAGTGTGAGGGTGTGGGCCCGGTCCATGGGCTTAGAGCTGCACCAAGGGCGGCGATGCTACGGTTGTCTGTAGGCGGCTCAAACTGCCACGAGATCTCAGCTTGCCATGACCGGTCATTGTCGGAGGCGAAAGGGGTGGTGGGAGGTACACGGTGGTTGTTATGTCGGGTTCTTTGTGAAGATGGGAATGGGTATGTGTGAGGGCTGTAGAATGAGAGAGAAGTAGACTGGTGGGAGCGGGATGGAGTTGGGTGGTGAGGTCGGTGGGTGGGGGTGGAGCTGCGGTGGTCTATTTCGCCGGAAAATTCTGCCATGGAAGAAAGAGTTTACTTACTGACATGCAGAAGGTGGTCAGTCTTTTTCTTGGTTTCTGTTTAAAACATAAGTGGTATGTGAGAGATGGTTAATGATTCGTTTAAAGAATTATATTAAAAAGTTATATATTTTTTGCAGGCGCTATTAATTAGAAGGTATTGTTTAATACTTTTGAGTTTTGACATTTTGGTTGATTATAACTTGTTTTATTTCAGTGTGGCTTCTTCTTCTTCTTCTTCCTGTACTGTAGTTATGAGTATGACATGTTTACATTTTGATAATGATTACCCAACTCTATTTGGACATGTCCAAGTGTCGTTTGTTGAAGAAGCTCTTGCATGTCAAAAATAGCAAAAATTAATTAATTATATATTTCTTGGTTGAAACAGCAACCAAATGGCAGTCTGAGACTTTAATTAATGTAAGTGCATTCTTTAACTCCAATTAATGGATATTTGAGTTTGACAAAGTCTTCAAACATCGATCAAACTAAATCTACATAATTACAGTAGTGAAAATGACTTTGTATTTGGATGACATTGCTAAAACTGGATAGATTTTTCAAGTAAGATGCTATAAGCCTATCATAGGAAGAAACCGAGGTAGGATGCTATATTAGACGAATCAATGAAATTGTGTTACTGTTTCTTGTATTTAACCTAAAATATAATCAAAGTTGGCTGCATGTTTCTTTCATGTATTGGTAAATACTAAATACCAAGTGATTTATTACCCTCTGATAATCCCTTTGCTTCTTCAAGTGTAAGTTGCCGAAGAAGCTAATATGCAAAACGGGTCAACCGGTTGGTCAAACATCCATGGAAGAAAAACAAACCACAAGAGGGAAGCTCAAATATAGAAAAAATTAATTAATTACATTTCTTGATTTGAAGTTTCAACAGCAGAAGCTTGAGCCAAATGGCAGTCGACCCTTTTAGGACATTCTTTAGCTCTAATGGCGGTTTGACTTTGACAAAGTCTTCAAACATCAATCAAACAAAATGTGCATAAAAAGGAATCCACATCAGAAAACAGAAACCAGTTTCAATGATTTTTCAGTCCCAATTTGAAGTTTTGATTATCATACTACAAAAATCAACAGAACATTCCACAAACAGGATGTTAGAATCATCAAATACAATAAGATCTGATTACTCCTCATCTTCATTGTCATATTGTTGACATAACAATTGTACTCCATTTCTGGACTTTGATGGCTTCTTCTTAACAGAGAACTTAATGTTGGGAACAAAAAAACTGCCACCTTCTTTATTATTTGACTTGCTGGTTTTCATCATCAGAACTTCTTGAGAAATCTTCCTCTTTTGCATACAACTAACTTGGAAGTTGGATTTTATATGTGCTCTGTCCTCTTCTTCATGCTTCTCTGATTGCTTCAAGACTTGAAGCATCGCATCAATATGAATAGATAGAGAAGAGATGCAAAAAATTGCTTATTGATTTGCTTGAATGAATATTACTGAGAGTATACATGTGTATTTATATTTGTATGTACAATCAATCTAGGAGATAAATAAGGAAGACTATAACTATCTTGACTATGTAAGTTACATTTGAATTTAAATAGCTGAAGGGTAAATAAGGTTGGCGGGTTATAACTTAGGTTATGACTTAGGTTATGACTTAATATGCCCCCACAAGATGGACGATCCAAAGATGAGACCAACATTCACACCAACATCCAAATGTCATGCTGGTTCCTAACATACATAACTTCCCCTAATAACCACCAACAACAACTATCTTTTGTTGTATATATTCATGATTTTTGGTTTTACAAATACACTTCTTTTCACTTAATGATACTCTGAAATAATCTTGTCTTAAAGAATATCAAAGCAATGTACTATGTGTTTCTGAATTTTAGATATTTCATGAAATCCAAATTAAGTTTTTTTTGGATTATCCCAAATATAATTTCGTGTTACTCCATGCAATATAGTCGAAGTTACATATTATAAAAAAAGTTCAACACATAAAACTTGAAATATATAAGTTATAATTGATACTCACCTTCCATTTTTTAGCATAAAATACAAATAAAGTAAGGTAAATTGAACAGAAACCAGTTTCATAAGAAACAAACTATAAGGTTAACAATAACAATAACAACAAGAAGATAACGTCAAACAAGAAATGCTACATGATATATATGAATTGTTAAGTTAAACTTTATAATTCATCATTGAAATCAAACAACTCCCGTTTATAATAATAAATAGACTAACAAATAAATAAGTAAAACAAACATAACAATGAAAATGTAAGTTGTATTCATAAAAACATGGATGATTTAATTACCAATGGCTCCATTATTATTAAGTTGTTTCATATAAACCATGCTCATTACAAAAGATGTTGCAACTAATACATACTTTTATTACATTTTTACCGTATTTTCATATATTTATTTACATTTAAAACAAATTTTAATATTAAAATTACATATTTATGTGTAAAAATGCATATTTTACATTAGAATTCCATATTTAGTGAAAATACATTTATAATATAAATATATATACTTATACATAATGATTACAATTTATATATAAAAAACCTCTCTCTCACTCTCTTTATATATATATATATATATATATATATATATATATATATATATATATATATATATATATATATATATATACTAGTTTATAACCCGTGGGAACCACGGTTATAAAACTAATTAAACGTTAATAGTTAAAATTTAAAATTATTAATAACTTATTTTAAATAAATTATTAATTAATTAAGAGGTTTTTTTAGTTATATAAAATTATAATCATTGATTTAAATAAATATGTAAAATTATATTACTTTATAACTTGTATTAAATTTAGTTTAATTTTTATTCTAATGTTGTTAATTTAATGTAATTATAATGAGAAATTTAAAATTTGAAATTTAAAATGGAGAAACAATATGTTGACAAATGATATTTATTAATTATGAGAGATAATAATGTGAAACATAGGAAAAGAAAAATAAAATTTGCATTAATTATGAAGCTTAATATGGTGACACATGTCAAAAGGAGAATAAAACTACTCTTTTATTAAAATAGGGATATATATATATATATATATATATATATATATATATATATATATATAAGATTTTTAAATGTAATAAAATAAATTTTTACAGTTTCAAATATTAAAAAATATATATTTATAGGATTCAAAATAACAAATGGTTAAGATTGAATAAAACAAAAAAAAAGATTTTGATTTGGAAAAAAAAAATTGACTGTTAAAATTAAAAAAAAAATTATGTTAAGATTGAAAAAAATAATAACTTAGTGTTTTTATGTTTCATATTTTTTAATCTTAAAATATGATCATGTCAAATTAACATCACATAACTAAACAGTATCATATCAGCAATGTCATATCACCAAAGATTAACACGAGTATCTAACTATGCTGACCGGTTAAGTGGTCAACATTACACTAATTATAAAACTTGGTGACTAAAGCATAACAAAAAATAACGAACTATCAAAATTGAATTTTTATGATAACATAATGTTTTTATACACTTTACCCTTATACCCATTAAAAATGTGATTACTTTACTCGATTTCCCTTGAATTAAACCTATCAAGTGTTTTCCATTCGTCATAATTTCTGGGAGCTTCTAATAGCATTTAAAAAAAAATTACTTTTTTTATAATTTTATTGACTTAGTTATCTTTTTATAAATAATGACGTATTTTACACGAAGCATGTTACATAATTTCATACTAATTTCACATGTTTTAGAAACTCTAGTTAAGTTTACCGAATATTCAATATAAATAAAAGGTTTATTGTAAGTTATACTACATTTGCATGGTTTTGACCGCCCAAAAGATATTACCTATACATTGTTATTTTCGTCACTTTTCAAACCAACAATTATTACGTTTCTTTTCGTATATATTTGTGCATGAATAACACATCAATCGATCTCTGCATCAACGGACTAAGGAAAGCCCGTTCATTCATCTACCTAGCTTCTTCTCGACTTCCATCAATGGCGTCCCTTCTTACAATTCCAGTCACCCATCTTCCATCTAGACTCCCTTCCACTCAATTCACCATGGTAATATATATGCCCATAGACATACTCTCCGTAATTTTCTGGGTATGAAACAAAATAACCATAGTAATATATTGTTTCTGAATTCTGATGCAGGGTGGACAGAAACTCGTGATCTTCAAATCACAGAGAAGGTCATTGCAGATCTCCCACTGCTTCAAGACCACAGTTTCATGCTCAGCCGTAAGAATTAATCACGTTCAAGTGCTCTGTTCAATCTTCACTTTAATTGTAGTAAATTTTACCTCGTTATCTTATGTTCTACAGGCTGAACCAGAGACTCTGAAGATAGTGCAGACCACCATTGCCAAGCAATTGTCAATCGATGAGACCACTGTTGCCCCAACAACCAAATTCGTTGATCTTGGTGCAGATTCCCTTGACACCGTATGTTTTTTTTCCTCCAGTTTTCTTATGATCATGATGATGATGATGATGATGATTATCATGGAAGTATGGTTGCTTACTTAATTAATTCGTTCAAACAGGTTGAGATTTTAATGGCTTTGGAAGAACAGTTTGGTGTGTCGATTGGAGAAAGTGGAGCTGAGAACATCTCCACAGTTCAAGACGCTGCTGACCTAATTCAGAAAGTAAAAGCAGCCGATGCTTAATTAACATAATTTCGTTGAAATTTTCTGATTATTTCTCTGGGTGTCAATCCAAATAAATGCAGGTCGTCCAAATCTTAAAATGTTATGAATATTCACAAGTTAATTATCATACAAAGATGGAAGCTTCATTGACATTATCAAAATTTTATAAGATCGAGTTTTTCAAGAACCATGTCCAGAACCAGAAGATGCCTGGATCATCTATCTACGTGAAACAAAATAACAACATAAAAAGATCCAATTACAAGCAGCTAGAAGCTATATGGTTTTCCTCTTTTCTCTCCATTGATCTGCAACTTCTGAAGCATCTCATCTTATTAAATACTACTATACTACATTACCTTACGCCACATATATTATACAAATCACGGGCTGCATATTATACACAGATGTTATTTTTATATATGTCTGTGTATAAATACATATATATACATTTACACATATACACACACAGAACTGAAAGATGTTGCTGAGAACACATTGGTCGTCTGATTGGGTCTTCGTTTAACGATCCAGAGAACTCAAAACGATCCTAACGAAAATTAACGTTTTTTTCGTAAGCATAGTAACGATTGAAGGTATTTGTAATAAAAGAAATTAAAGAGAGAAAGAGAACAAACCAATCATAACCAGTAGGACTTTTGGACTCCCTACGGGCTTCGGTAGTAGATTTCCTCCGTGTTAATTTCCTGAAATCCCCGCCGGGCGACGTCGCTGGACACCGTTAATTAATTTCCAAACACACCCACACACACACACAAATTATATGTCAACGTCATCAATCGTATGTATGTTTAAGAATTAAGAAGAAGTGTATAATGAACTACCTGAGAAAGGGGAACCAGCAGCGCTGGATCCAGCCGGAGACGACGGGGTAGAAGGGGAAGAGGAGAGGCTGTTGGTCCGGAGAATAGTGATGCTGCGTGAGACGGGGGTGGTTTCGTCGGCGTGTGCGGCGGAGGGAGGAATATTTGAACGGGAGAGGAGAGAGTTATATCTGCGAAGCTTGCCGAGGCCGGAGTCGGAGGTAGAGCCGGAGAGGGCGTCGTCCCAGAGGTTACGAAAGAAACCCATGATTGTTATTAGTAATAATAATAGTGGCTAATTAATTAATTAATAAACTAGTTGTTAATTTCGTTTCTTTCCTGTAACAACCGGAATTAGGTGGGTTAAGCAAAAAAGAAGAAGTCCGGCGGTGGCGCCACCCGAATGCGACTGTTACGAATAGAAGGAGAAGCGTTAACTTATTGAAACAAAAACTGGAGGAGAAGTTCTTACGCGAGTAATTGGGAGTCATGGGGGATTTATATAGATTTGATGATGAGATTTGATGGTGGCCGTTGGATTTGCTTGGTGTGTAGATAATTTCGGAGGGATTAACGAATGAAAAGCAAACCCACCAAATGGCCCATGCTCAGGCTGTGATAGTTGTCACTCTTTGGTGTATGCACGTGGATAGGCAGCTGAGTCATGTCCACCTCTTTCATTAGCCAAGAATGTTGGAGTTTTTTTCAATTAAACCACATCCTTTCTAAAAAAAATTTAAATATCTAGTTTTTCCGTCTAAATTCTAATATAGATTTGTCCTTTTTAATATTTTTTAATATTATATATACCCGATTCTATTTTTTTTATTTTATAATTTTTATTCATTTATAATTCTTTTTTATAATCTTAAATCATTATAATTAAAAACAAACATTTTAAATGGACAATATTGTCCTTAGTTCTAAATTTCAATACAATACAACATATCACATTTTGTTAATTACACAATTATGCTTTTTGTTAATTACGTTCGCATTCTTCTTTCCTATCGCAACCTTCTATTACATTATAAAGCTATAACTGACTTCCAAAATTTATGTGTTTCATACTACATAATGATAGATAATCATGGAGACGAAAACCTAATGTCACAATGCTACCTTCCTACATCATATAAACCTTAATAATTTGGAATGGAATTCCCACCTGTCAATAACATCACACAAACCTCTATTGAAGAATTCTCCATCTAGTTTTCTCCAATTTCATATACATGGGTAAGGGTGGTATTCAACTAGTTGATACTTCATTGTTTCCATTCATTTCTTCCCCTTTCCTCGTTCTTTCGTTATTGATCCACCAACCCTTTGATTGTTGTCACTTGATTTAGCACCACCCTTTTTGCCCATTTTGTAGTGTAACAAACCCGCTTCCTTTCCATTGGATGCTTCATAGAAACACAAAATTCCAGCTCCACTAATTACACCTGGAAGACCTTTTTCTGAATTTCCTCTCACCTGATGAACAATATGATTGATAAGTCGTGATGAAATGGCAATAAATATTCCAGCTCCGTTGTGTAAGAAGCTCATTCAGCTTTGTTGGAAATCTCTTAAGCGTAATCTTCTTCAATATTTTTATTTCCATCTTTTGTTCATTGTTGTCATTTGATAGGGTAACAATGAAACTTATAACATTCTCATTGTTCTCTCCAATTTTATCATCCTCATTATCGTCTGATTTCCCCGGTTTCAAATCAGAAGTAATTCTTGTCGACTTTACTAAGTCATCCATTGGCTTTGATTTTATCAACAATGTCCATTTCCATTCTTCCTCGTATGTATTTGAAATCGTTTTTGCTACTAATTTCTCTAAACAAACCTCGATTTTCTCATATTTTCCTTTACATTTGTCGACAATATTTTTATTCTTCCCTTTTCCTTGTTCTTTCGTTATTGATCCATCAACACTTTGATTGTTGTCATTCGATTCAACGACACAATTTTAGCTTATTTTCTAATCGGTCGATCGGCAATATTTAAGGATGTCAACGGGGGCAAACGTGACGGAGATTGCATCCCCCGCCTCCGCCCCCGCCGTCAAAATTTCTAGCCTCCCCACCCCCGCCTGCGGTCCCGAATTCATGGATTACCCCCGCCCCTATCACCGATTGATTTTGAGATATTTTTTTATTAGGCTAAAAGAAGTTGATTTTGGGCTTAAAGAAACTATTTTTTGGGTTAAAAATAGTTATATATAACTTAATTTTACATGTTAAAAACAAAAATGTTATCACATCTCAAAAACGTATTCTAACTTAAAAACATAAATTTTTTTATTGAGTTTTAGAAGCTTAAAATCATTGTTAATATATATATATATATATATATATATATATATATATATATATATATATATATATATATATATATATATATATATATATATATATATTAACGGGACCATCATGGGGGTTCGAGACGGGAAGGAATGGAACGTTGGCAAACAACTTTTTTTGATCGTTTTCTTCTTCTTCTTTTTTATTCTTAACAAATTTACCACAATATATATATATATATATATATATATATATATATATATATATATATATATATATACATACATACATATTTACCATTCATTTCACATCACAAGCAATCAAAATGTCTTCCAATAATCCAAACTCCTCCAACCAAAATGCTTCCAACCCATTTGCACTTTTCGGTTACGATCCGACATCACGACCACCTTACCAACCACAAATGGTTCCATCAAGTTTATCTCAAAACTAAGCATTTGTAGTTGGTGTTCCTAGCTATTATTCACAATTCTGAATGCTACAACAATTCCATTTACAATCCATACCACCCTGAATAACATCCTAAACCCAAACGTAAACTCAATTCCAATTTCCATCCCAATCGCCTTTCACACCATCAACCGATTTTTTTTCGATTCCAAGTCTGAAGAGCAACCTCAAAAAAAAGGAAGGCCGATCCGAGAAGATGGATTCAAAAAGAAGAGACGAAATTAGCAAAGGCATGGGTCGACATATCCAAAGATAGCAACACGGGAAAGGGTTAATCGAGTGATCAATTTTGGTTACATGTTACAGAGTGGTTTTGTAGGGGTATGTGTAACACCCGGAAACCATGAGGCTAATAAAGGAAAGATATTATGCAAATGAAGGTCCATTCATCGAGTCCAAGGGGAATAACTCGACGAGTAGGAATAAGTTTGGATGTGGGTTTTAAGCAATCTACTCGATGAGTAGGTCTGCCATAGTGAAACCCTAAATTTGGGGTTTTGCACCCTATTTAAGCATCTTAATCCCTACTTTATGGCCTCATTTCCAGCCTCCAAGTCCCAAACCCTAATCCACAAAACCCTAGAGCCTTGTGTGAGTTTGTGAGACATTTTTGAGTGAACTTTGTGTGATTTGAAGATTGCAGAAGAAGAAGCCAAATGATTCCAGGAGAAGATTGTAGATCCAGAAGCAACATCTCATCCTCTTCGTTTTCTGGTAAGAAAGCCTCAACCTTGCTTAGTAGCTTGATAAATCTCCTTCTTTTCACTTTATGGGGTTTTTGGTCCAAGAAGCTTAGTCCTTGGGATACGGCCAAAAAAGACCAATTTGTTTATGCTTTATTTTGAAAATCATAGTATCTTTTAAAGAAATATGTTGTGGAATTTGTTCCTAGAAAAACATGATAAATACGTTATTAAAGCATTTCCGAAGAAATGTATTTTATTCATTTTAAAACATTGGAATGTCTTTGTCAATACAAACACATAAGCATAAACATACCGTACATTCTTTTAGACTAGTGATTTACATCTCCTTTAATATCTCCGTGTAATGTAGTTTCGTATCGACACCTGTGATACAAATAAACTAAGTGGGTCAGGTTGGGAAACCTAGTGAGTACATAGGGATTTCAATCCCACAATGTTATATCATATATATATATATATATATATATATATATATATATATATATATATATATATATATATATATATATATTAGAACTCACAAGTATACAATTTCACCATGTATAAACAACTCTTACCCCACCCCGTTAATCCTCACAACGACATTATCCATACTCTCGGACCTTAAAATTTATCTCTTTACTTAATCCATACTACCATATCTAATCCATGCTCCCAGATCAATAATTGTGTCCATTCCATACTCTCGGGCTAGGGACAATTTTCTATGTCAAAAT